TTACGGTTGTTTCGTTAGGCTCTATGGTTTCTTGTACTGGTGATATCAACTGACTTAGTGCTGACCAGGAATAACAGTATACCCAGAGGCGTAGCTAGGGGAGGGCGGGGAGGGCGGCCGCCCCGGGCGCCGACCCTAGGGGGGCGCCAAAAGGGGTAGAAAATTATTTCAAAAGCTCATTTAAAGCTGCAGTTTTGAATTATAAACAGCCAAAGTAAAGAAATTTAACGGCTGAGAGCCTTTGCATACTGATTTAACTGTTTTCTACCTTGATTGTGTAACTGTAAAACGTGTATCCTTAAGAAACAGTGACCGGAAAACCGCTTTCCAGCTTTCCTAGATGTGGGAGGGGGCGCTTATTCGAAGACTAAAATCTTAAAGATATCACACCGGATTAAGGAATAAATAACCGATATCACTCAGGAAAGAAACCCATTGTACTAAAGCGTATTTTACGATTGTGTGACATTAAAAAAAGAGTTAGTGACGTTTAAAATCCGCTATACCATTTTTGTCCAACTTCATTGTGATTGATCAGATACTTTAACTTGATTGCATTACATCTTACCGTGATCACTTCATTAAAGATAAATAATTATCACGGATTCTTGTATCGCTATCCGATAAGTAAAATAGCAGACTGTCGGAGAGGGTGGTGGAAAGCGACACTCTACTTTGCCAAAATTTTAAGAGAGAAGAAAATTGGTATATTGTAATGAATAGATCATTTTTTAATTCCTTTTTTCATAACACTTTGCTCAACCTAACTGATAACTTGAAATTATAATATAGGCCTACTATTATCGAAGTTGTTCTAAAGACACGACCAAAAGTAGACCAAATAAGTTTGCACCTACTACAAAATACACTCTAAAGCAGTGGTTCTTAACTTTTTGGAGGTACCGAACCCCACCAGTTTCATATGCACGTTCACCGAACCCTTCTTAATAGTTGTATCGTTCACACAGATAAAATCGTGAATCACTTCCGCGGAGACCCTGAGACTGAATTACCGAACATCTTGGGTTTGATGGAACCCACTGTTCTAAACTCTTTTGATTTTCTTCTTTTTATTCTTTTCGGCTTCATAAGGAACATAGGCGTAATCAACACTCTGTCAACTCACTTGATTTTTATGAAGATCGAACCCTAATAATCCAGCTTCCCCTTCTCTATTTCGAACGATTTCCTTCAGAACTTATTTAGTCTTTTTCTCTTCCTCTTTCCCCATGGACTTCACACAAGCACCTGCATAGGGGTGTTATTTTTTGTCTTTCTCATATTGTGTCCTAACCAGCACCTTTTCATTCTCAACTGTCTTTAACCTAGCTCCGAGCTATACCGTAAAAGATACATTATATTTAGCTTAGAATGTTAATACGCATTTTATCGCTGCTGATTCTAATCTGAACGTCATGAGCGTCAGCTAATATCATTAAACCGGTTATTACAGCTACTTCAACCAGTACAATTTGTTCTGCATTTGTTGTTGACTGTGTGCGAGAAGGCAGCGCACATCTGATAAATCCAAGACTTCGAGCTGTTGTGTCCGTTGGATTCCAGTTTGTTTTCTCTAGCTTGTTTCATTATACAATCAACCAGTCAACGAAATACCCATATCATATTCCAATGTGAACAATAATTTGCTATTGTATGTCAATTGTATGATCTTAATCTAACAAACTTATAATCGAAATATATACTATATCATAAAAGAGACTATTCCAAAGAAAAAAAAAACATAAAAAGACTGTCATAAAAGAATTAGCACCTGCTAATTATTTTTTTCTGACATTACTAATCATCATTTTTTAAGGATAATGTATCTTAAGGGGTAAAGTTTTAGGGAACGACAATCATACAGCTAATTATTAATTTTTTTCCGGACTGTCGCACACACACATACACACATACACACACACACACACACACACACACATATATATATATATATATATATATATATATATATATATATATATATATATATAGGGGGGGGGCGCCAAACTAAAAGTTCGCCCCGGGCGCCGGAAAGGGTCGCTACGCCTCTGAGTATACCTTCTCGCCGATTACATTCTTCTTAACGTATTCTTCACTTTCATTGTTTACTTCTTTCTCTAACCTAAGTAATCTATCACTAAGTTCATCGTTTTGTTTTCTCAGATTGAGAACAACTGCGCCAATTTCTGTAATTCTTTTGGAGAAATCTTCTATCACTGAGTTCATGTCTACCATCAAATTGTTCATTCTATTCGGTGGATCACACATGTTTCTGTCCACTGGTTCACCAGATGAATGTGTTTCGGGCTGATGGCTTCTTACTTGTGTTCTATGATTCATGCCATTCTCAACTTGAAATTGTTTGACACCTCTGATGTTGCCTAGGATCAGATCATGTGGACCATATCTAAAAACAACTGCTTCTACTGTTCTTGTTGCTGATGGCGTGCTAATCTGGATTATAGCTGTTGGCCAAACATATGTTATGCCTCGTGAACTCTGGACATGTTGTGTTCTGCCTGTGTATTGATGTCGTCTAACAAAGTAGCTTCTAACAGCTATTGTTGAGCATCGTGTGTCCCTTATGGCCCGCGCGAATCTGTTGTTAATCTTGGCTGTAAATGTTTCTTTCATGTTGCTGGCTTCACTAAAAGATCTCAGGTTGCATTATTACGCTATATCGTGTTATTAGTATATATTTTCTTAGACCATCACCTAATTAGTATGTGAAGTTTCATCACCCCCCCCCCCTCCCCCACCTTTTTTTCTCTAAAAAAAAAAAAGACAGCGTGAATATTTGGTAATTTTAAAAGATTGTGCTACTAAATAAAGGTAATCACATCATCTTGTGGAAAAATTGCTTGTTACGTCTTTATTTAATTCAGCTGAATAATCTCTTTTTTTTTGTTTCCAAATGTTGAAGGTCGGCGTAGTCGGGTTGGTTAAGCTCATGGTTGCTGAACCGAAAAGTCCCGAGTTCGACTACTCCAAAATCAGCTGCTCCCAAATAGAAAATGCTGAAATCGGAGTCATAGGCCTATAATGTGTTGACACATATCACATAATTGTGTTTGAGGGAATCCCTTTCAACACTAAAGTTACGATCAAAGAAGGAGAAGTTTCTAAATGTTAATACGCTGTCAAACTATTAACCAACCGATAATATGATAGGTTTTTTTTCTTGGATTTTTTATAATTTAAGAAAAAAACAAAACATCATCAAAGGCAGTATTGTAGTTCAACTGCCCCTTCCCCCATGAATTATTTTCTTTACAAACAAAAAAACCGGATAAACTAGCAGTTTCCTTTACGCATCGGAGACACGGCTAATGCCCCCCCCCCCCCCACCCCCCCCCCCCAACGAAACACGTCCACAGCCCCTATCCCCCCCCCCCCACTCAGAAAAAAAAAATTCTATAGAAAAAGTAGACAAAATATATACTTTAATAGTGTCTTCCCCTCCCCCCCCCCCCCCCGGCCGTTTCAGGTTCCCACCAAAAAAGCTTGAGATAATCCCGTAAAACTATAACAATATACACATATTTAGCCAATTTTGAAATTCTGTGTAAATGAATTATAGCAAAACATGTTTGAAATACTACTGATTCTGTTACTCACTGTTACCATTCGCTGTTGTTCAATGTTACTCACTGTTACCATTCGCTGTTGTTCAATGTTACTCACTGTTACCATTCGCTGTTACTCACTGTTACCATTCGCTGTTACTCACTGTTACCATTCGCTGTTACTCACTGTTACCATTCGCTGTTACTCACTGTTACTATTCGATTTGAAATGCTGATTCTGTTACTCACTGTTACTCACTGTTACCATTCGCTGTTACTCACTGTTACTCACTGTTACCATTCGCTGTTACTCACTGTTACTCACCGTTACCATTCGCTGTTACTCACTGTTACCATTCGCTGTTACTCACTGTTACTATTCGATTTGAAATGCTGATTCTGTTACTCGCTGTTACCATTCGTTTGATTTGAAAAACTAAATAATTTTGTTAACAGTGTTTCTTCAGACTTTTTTACTCGGGGGGGGGGGTAGACTTTTTTCTGTGGAGCCTCCCCCCCCCCCCACGAAGAGATGCCTGGAAGAAACTCTGTTATAGTTACCATTAGTTTTATTTGAAACACTGATTCTGTTAATGTTACCATTTGTTTTGTTTGAAATACTAATTCTGTTTATTTTACTATTCGTTTTATTTGAAACACTGATTCTGTTGATGTTACCATTCGTTTTATTTGAAACACTGATTCTGTTAATGTTACTATTTGTTTTGTTTGAAATACTAATGCTGTTAATTTTACTATTCGTTTTATTTGAAACACTGATTATGTTAATGTTACCATTCTTTTTATTTGAAACACTGATTCTGTTAATGTTACCATTCGTTTTATTTGAAATACTAAATTATTCTGTTACTGTTACCATTCGTTTGAGCAACCTTGCATACACATAAAACTTGTACACGTGTTTCAGAAACGTGACTTAGACCACACAGATGAATGGGAACAACGGAGACCTCAGTATGTATTCAAATAAACAGGGCCTTAGTATTCATGTAGCGTAACCCGTTTGGTGACAAATAAAAGCAAAAATATGGCGTATGCGTTTCTGAATTTTAACTATTTAAATATTTTTTAAAAATCAATACTGCTATATTAATATCCGCACCCTGTTTTATTCCCATAGATCAGGCTTTATCTAGTTGTAGGAGTGCAAGAGTAGACCTAGATCTAGGTATTTTTTGTAATCTTCAACAGCTGGCCTATTTTTTTTTATCTATGAAATCCTTAGTCCTTGATGGCCTAGATAATTTGTTGACACATTTTTGTTGATTTTTAACTTTAAAAAATAAGATCTAAATAATATGCATAGAAATTAGAGAACAAAAAAAAACTCTTTACATTTCATTATAGGCATACACATAATAACAAATCTTTTTAGAGTAACTATAAAGTATAAAGTTTTAAATGTAGCTTTTATAGAACGTTACAAAACGGCGTGTCATACATTTCAGTGAACTATGACGTCACCGCAGTTATGTAAGAAAAATAAATTCAACGAGGCCTACCAATCCCACCCCTGCGACAATTATTCTTTGGTGCGAGTGAACCGTATATAAAAACGCGTGGATCTGCTGCAAAACATTTCTTTGGCACACGTCTGCGTTTCAGCTTCAATTCTGTTAACTGCAAATTCCAAAAAGGTAGATATCTAGTAGATAGATTTAGATCGAATTCTTAATGTACGCAATGTATTTAAGTGTATTTATGTATTATATTTTAACCGCTAGCCGGCCGTTACAATTAATTATAAATTAATACATTAAATTAAAAAATATTTTAAATACTTAATATATAGATGAATTTTTACGATTTATTTAATTAGACCAAGATCTAGATATATCTTATGTACTATTTTAAATTTAACATGTTTAACTTAGACCTATTTAAATTACTGAATGTGTATTATGTAGCGTTCAGTTTATTGGCGCCTTCGTAATAATATGAATATTATAGGCATATTCATATACATAGGGTCTGACAGCTTTAAAAAACGAAAGCTTATCCCTACATTAAACATTAGGTAGAAAACAAACATTAAAAGCTCTTAACACATAGATCTAGATCTATTTACTGTCACATTGTTTTGACATTTTAATGTTTATACTTTATGCATTTTTTATTTTGTCCCCAGTTTTTTCAAATATACTTTTTTAGGCTACCTTGTCCAGAAGACCAAAAACTCAAGTAAAATGTTGTACCCATTGCTGGCAATCACAAACAGTATCTTTATGATCGGCCAATTTGTCATAAATGGTCTTAGTGCATCAGGCCCAGATGGAAGTAAGTTTTTTTTTTTTAAATTATAGATCTTCATTTGTTTAGTTTAAGATGACTTATTACATTTATTGCAAAATTAAACTTTTGATTTAAGTTTATAACTATATTATATTTATAAACTGCAGTTCAATGTTTCCAACTAGATACATTTATAATTCCCTTAAAGCTCTGAAAACTAAAGTCATCCTCCCCCCCCTGTAGTCTGTAGAGATGCCTTAAATAAACACTGACCATCAATGAAGATTTAATCTATAAATTCTTATTACATAGAACCCTTTTTTAAAATTACAATTAAAAAGATTTCTTACTTTATCTTAGAAAAATAATTATATTTTTAACTTCCATTTCACAGCTGTTTTTCAAAATAGAACTGGAGACATATCTGCCAAGTTTGAGACCCCAATAACACCAGCAGGCTGGACCTTCAGCATATGGGGCTTTATCTATGCATGGCAAACACTATGGGTGATCTACTCCTTGGTGAATATTTGTAGGAAAAGTGGCAGTGGCCCTCTGTACGAGAACCCCAGATTTCTTCCTTTGTCTATGCTGGGTGTATGTATCATCATATGTTGTGTGAACATAGCCTGGTTGATTTCCTTTGATAGACAAGAGATTGAAGCAGCCTGCGGTTTACTTATTGCCTATGGGTTTTTAATGTACGGAGCTATGTATATCTCATATAAAGCTCTTGATAAAGCTTCAGCGCAACTTGTGGAGCAGAAGAGAACGGTTGACATTTGGTTAACAAGAGCTCTGGTTCATAATGGTTTAGGTATCCAAGCAACATGGGTGACCATTGCAACTCTGCTCAACGTCTCCATGGTGATGATCTACAGTGGGAACCAATCAGTGGACCACCAAACCTCGGGGACAATCGTCTTGGCTATTTTATCCGCAGAACTCTCTATCTATGCTATAGCTGATTTTTTTTTCCTAGATCGCTACTCTCGTTATACAATAACCCCATACATGGTTGTTGTCGTTGCTTTAATTGGGAGCATAAACAAACATTATGAAGACGGGGAACAGAACTCTATTTTTAAAATTGTTTTATTGGCTGTCGCTGGAGCTTTACTGGTCTTAAAGATAGCTGTCACGATCTTCAAACATTTCAGGCGTCCCAGATATGTTTCTCACTATGAGTCTACAATTAGTGAAAAACCAATAGCTGGCCAGTATGCGTAATTAACTGTGATCACAAATATAATTAAATATATTAACATGTCTAGATAGAAATTAATTAGGCAGTGATAATTCTAAAACATCGATATGACAGCTATTTATGGTCCTGCTGAACGATTTATTACAATGAACCTCACTTTTGAGATATCCGATAGTTTAAATAAAATAAAATTATGGATATGTTTGTGTTCTTTATTAATGGCAACTAAATTAATGCCCAATTCCTGATATATGAATCAAAACAAATCAACCTCACATTGAAGTTGTCCACTTTTATGTAAATACAAATCTTTGTATTAAATTCCAAACTTAAAAGCTAAAGTTTTTTTAGTTATTAAACAGCCTTTTTAAAATTGTTTTAATTTGATATAATTGATTTTACACAATATGCATTTTACAATTTATATGTAGTGTTGTATATCTTAATTTTTTCTACCTTTTGTTTTATCTTTTGTGTTTGTCACTGTTTTGACAATCTTTTATATTTCTGAATTAAATTATTTTCCAATAAAAGGTGTTATTTTATTTTCTCGTTTGTAAAGTTTCTTATTGCTTTATAAATAATTTAACATAGGTTCTGAAAAATATAATTTTGACATAGTAGTTATTTTTTAATGCATTGGAATCTTTAAAAAAAGAGTTTGGTTATTTAAAAAAAAAAAAAAAAAAAAAAAAACCTAGAATTTTTGCTAATTTTTGTTGCTAAAGGTGTATAGCTCCTATTTCACATTTTAACAAAGTTCAAGACTTTATGTGATTAGGCGCTTGTCATATAACACTTAAAGTTAAATTTTAACAATGAGATAAAATATACCACTGACAAATTAAGGCTGTTTTGAAAGCTTAACAAAACTTAAAATTTTTTATTTTCTTTAAATAAAAGGTTATAGTTTTTTTTTCTATTTTAAATTAGGGGTTATGGTATTTTTTTCTTCTATAAATACTAGGTTATATTATTTTTTTTCTTTTAAAATTAGAGGATATAACTTTTTTATTCTTTAAATATGAGGTTCTAGTTTTCTTCTATAAATAACAGGTTAGATTTTAAATAGTAACATAGCTGTGTGGAAATTTTAATCATAAGCTATTAGGACTTGAACAAAGAACTCTTTGTTAACTCAGGCAGCAGTTACCACAAGATATGTTGCGTTCAAGCCTAACATAGGCCTTCTTTTATTAAAATAATTGTAGGCCTGTTTCAAGTTGGCAAAGTAAAAAGTTGGAAGAGAATAAAACTGAATACACTATCCCTTGATATGCAGATTACACAGACATTGAACTCTTCTTCATCTGTATTTTGGATAATTTTGTGTATTTAATTAATTTTTTTCATTTGAACCAAATGCTGTACAAATTACATAAGTTATTATTTTCAACCTCTTCCTCAAACCAAAAATTAAATGGATAAAAATAATTTAGCAAACATCTTATAGCCTGCCCAAACTACCAAACATTAATGTACAGCTTGCTACAGCTACCAAAAATTAACATACAGCCTGCCAAACTACCAAACATAAACATACAGCCTGCCACAACTACCAAACATTAACATACAGCTTGCCACAACTACCAAACATTATCCTATAGCCTGCCACAACTACCAAACATTATCCTATAGCCTGCCACAACTACCAAACATTAACATACAGCCTGCCACAACTACCAAAAATTAACATACAGCCTGCCACAACTACCAAACATAAACATACAGCCTGCCACAACTACCAAACATTAACATACAGCCTGCCAAACTACCAAACATAAACATACAGCCTGCCACAACTACCAAACATTAACATACAGCCTGCCAAACTACCAAACATTAACATGCAGCCTGCCACAACTACCAAACATTAACATACAGCCTGCCCCAACTACCAAACATTAACATACAGCCTGCCACAACTACCAAACATTAACATACAGCCTGCCACAACTACCAAACATTAACATACAGCCTGCCACAACTACCAAACATTAACATACAGCCTGCCCCAACTACCAAACATTAACATACAGCCTGCCACAACTACCAAACATTAACATACAGCTTGCCACAACTACCAAACATTAACATACAGCCTGCCACAACTACCAAACATTAACATACAGCCTGCCACAACTACCAAACATTAACATACAGCCTGCCACAACTACCAAACATTAACATACAGCCTGCCACAACTACCAAACATTAACATACAGCCTGCCACAACTACCAAACATTAACATACAGCTTGCCACAACTACCAAACATTAACATACAGCCTGCCACAACTACCAAACATTAACATACAGCCTGCCACAACTACCAAACATTAACATACAGCCTGCCACAACTACCAAACATTAACATACAGCCTGCCACAACTACCAAACATTAACATACAGCCTGCCACAACTACCAAACATTAACATACAGCCTGCCACAACTACCAAACATTAACATACAGCTTGCCACCTGAATTCCACCTGCTTCAATCAACAGCTTCTTCACTAATGAAACTAGTTTGGGGATTAATAAAACAATGTCTTAGAGGATTTCAATCTATTAACCAGGTGTCTAAAGATGGCCAGGAGAGTTTAAATTTGATCTGCAGTACAGAAATATAAGTAAACGTGCCCTTTAGACCTAACAATCCATTTGACAGATGAAGTAGACTCCATTTGTTTCTTGTCCTTGGCATATGAAGGTATGACTTGGTCAGAATTTTGTCCTGCGAGCCTTTTTCCCCTCATGAGCAGAAACACATGGTTTATATAAATTACATTCTTCTTTACAAACTGTCCATTGTAATCAAATTACAAATTAAACAAAAAAATAAATCACAGACTTCAATGTTGTTTACCAGATGTTCAACATGTTTTCATGACCTTTGACACACAATGGCCTTTGACTACATTGTTACATTTCTGCCTAAGCTTTAGCTGACCTTTAGGTAAAACAACCAGAGTTACATACCCTTTTATAAAAGATCTGGCAATATCTAAAACAGTCTGGGTTGTGTTGACCTACTTACATAACCAAGTTATATTTAGAAGTATACAACCAGTGTTGCATAACATGAAATTATAATGGCTTTATTGTAGGCAGCAAACAAGAAAAACAGGATTTGAATCATTGTGGGAGAAAAACATTTAAATTATAACAATCAGTATTATGAGATTTCATGGGCCAAAAAAAAGATTGTAAAAACATTCGGTCTACAATTACCTCGAAGTCATGTGCCGAAGACTATAAAGAAATGGATTGTTAAATCTTTGGCTTTGCGTAGTGTTCACAATGAATTTAAAATGTTGATACAAAATTATTTTTTTTACAAGGCGCCAAGCAGAAGATTGAAAGAAGTTTGTTCGCAATCTTGAAATTAAATGGAAGTTACAAAAGAAGTATTTATTTTTTGTGTATACAGGCCTTGTAATCAATGAAAAGTTGATACAATTTTATTCTTTATTTAATGTGTATGATGAGTAAATGATGTGGCGCTATCCAGAGCATGGGGTTAATAGTTAAAATAGTCTGATATACTTTCCTCAGTTAGTAACATTTCTCTCTAAGAGAATATCTTTTAAAAAATAATGAGTAGTTCAAAACCACAACAAATTTTTTTGTATCTCCCTTGGAAATTTATGAGAAACAGTGGGATAGACTGGTTAGTGAAATAATGCTGACCTAAATGACACTCAAATATATAGGATCTTCCTATGTCCTGGTAAAAAAAAAAAAAATCTACAAGATTGATCATCATTTTTTAAAAGTCTTTACATAAACCCTAATTTATTTTCATTGTCGAATCTTAAATGAGTTAAGCCAACAATACAAGTTTTCTAACTTAAATGTTTGTGTTGTGAAAATCAAACTTGAACCAAACACAGTTAACATATATCACATTTTTATTATTTTCAATCTATTTATACTGGGATAAAAACAAAATAAATATTCATGACAGCATAAATCATACTTAGATAAAAACATTTCTTGACAGAGTTTATTGGATAGTCAACTGGTAAAAATGTTTCAAGATTTGTACATCAGATCTTCACGTCAGTGTAATAAAATCACAAAATCACATTTTTAAAAAACTGAATTGTAAAATTGGACAACATTTGTCTAGGTAAAATGAAAAAACTCCAGACAATATGAACCTTATTGTGATACTTGTCTCAGGACGGAACAATTTATTTTGAACAGCTTTAGAAGTACAAAGTAATGGATAATGAAATGGTGACTCTTCAACAGTTGTGTGCTCTCCATACTACTCAAACTCTGATGCTCTGCCTTGCCTTTTCCAGGATATCTTTACGAATTTTTGGATAATTTGGGTGCGTATTGAGAACCTGGAAATAATCATTTTAAAATTACCACACACTAGCAATGTAAGAAATAAAACATTGAAACAAAACTAATAGCAAAAAAAAAGCACAAACAAATTTTATAAGTGTTGGGTGGGTGCAAAAGTTAAGTGATTTACAGCTAATTACAGATCCATACACAGAATAAAATATTGATCAAGATTTGAAACGTTCAGTTAATAGATTGATCAATCGTATACTGAAAAAGATGGCAGTTATGTGAGTTACAGCTACATTACAGATCAACACACAGTATTAACTACTTATCAAGATTTGAAACTTTCAGTTAATAAATTAATCAATCATACAATGAAAAAGATGTCAGAAGTAAAAACAAAGTTTAAGTAGGTAAATAGTTTATGATTTTAACTTTTGTGCCATATAATATACAAATGGATTGATATGTACCTATCAAATAATTTAAGTTTTTAAAAATATAGCCACCAAAAACAGATGTAATATTTGTAGAAAGAACGTGAAAATAATCACTTTATATTTTTCAATTTACAAGATATAACTTCCTAAAAAGACATAAAAAAAACATGAAAATTTTACTTTTTCATTGCAATATTATTTGGGTAAAGCAATTAACTGTTGGCTATTTGTTGGAGTGCAGGTAAGACTTGTACAACATACTTTTCTTTAGTATCAGTATCCTTAACATCCATTAAAAAACACAAACATGAGACTGTTTTGCTCAGTCAATGTTTTTGCAGGAGCCAATTTAAAATAGCATTTGATGAGCAGATGAGAACAACACTAAACAAGTAAATTAAAAACTTGGACTTACATGTTGGCAAATGTCTATTGCATCAACAAACCTTCGGGCTTTCATATAATTGAATGCAAGTTTGTAGCCTAAAAGTTGGTGAGAAAATATATTAATTATAAACATATTCATCTCTACAATATTTCACAGGATTAAAAAAAATCCACTTATATGAATGGCTAGGTTAGTCTAACCATAACTACAGTTTAATGAAGGGAAACAACCAAAGAAATACAGGACACAAAACAAGCCAAAAAGAGTTATGGAGAAAGGCAACAAAAAAGATTTTTAAACATTTTTATTACTTCTTATTACTATCATCTGATTAGCTTTGCTGCTTATGACGATATAATGTGTGCATAAAATAAAACAAATATCTATTGCAAACTTACCAATGACAGGATTATTTTTGTTGCCATACTTCCAAGCATTTTCATAACTATTGGCTGCATCTTTGTAGGACTGTTCTTTTTCAAAGATGAAACCACTGTACTCATAAGCTTTACAGCATGACTGAAAGCAAAGTCAAAAATACTTTTAAAGAAAAAGATAACACATAACCATAAGCTTACAGAAGAAATATATAATGGAAAATTTGTTTGTTAATGTGATTCAATTTTTAAAATTTAGATAAAGACTTCTGAAAATACAATATTCTAATCTGTTGTAAAACATTTCCAAATTTATCAGGTAATTCTTAAACAAAATTTGATTTTTAAAATGCTAAAAGGATAATCTATGAGAAAAGTCATGCATGAAGATAACCTAATGTAGGATTGCCATTTCTATTTACTAGCACAGTTAGGCATAAGGTATCACTGAATCACTGCACCTTATTGAACTGTAGACATCTTTTCAGCAGTTCTCCAGCCATGTCATACTTGCCAGATTGCACATAAATATCAGCAAGCAACAGCCAGCTCTTCTCCAAGTCTTCAGCATCCTGCATACAGTAAATTAAATTTTATTTAATCATTTCAAATTACAACACACAAAAATCACATTTTTTCCAACAACTGTTGTATGAATTCACAACACAGTATTACAGAAAGAATGAAAAATTAGGTTTTTAAAATTAATTTTATTTTTAAAACTATCAAACCTGAATGGTCCATGGACTTTTGGCAACTCTTTTCAACTGGTTCCTGGCACGAGGGACTTGTTTTAACACCATGTAGGCTGTTGCCATTCCATATAAAGCACCAACATGTTCTCTCTACCAAGAGGAAAAGAAAACAAACATGTAACTCATTAAGCTTAAGAAACTGAAGAAGAATAAGATAGTTACTTATAATTTTTCTCTTCCAACTGATCATGTTAATTTTATTATAATGTTTAGTTAAAGTTTTACATTATTTTTAATGACTAAAAAACACAGCAATGTGAGAACACTATGCATGAAACATTCAAGGTTCTTGTTAAGGGCAAAAGTTAGTTTACATTTAACTCTCTATTGAGAAAGAACCATTGTTTCCACAGTGATTAGTGGGTGCTATTGGTCTTACTTATAAAAGAAAAATAACTTATAGTTAGCATTAAAAAAAAACTTTTAAGATAAAATTATCATTCTATGTAACTAAAATATCAAAAGTACCTTCTTAGATGCTGCTTCAGCCTGTCCTTCAGCACCACCCTGTATACAAGCAATAACGGATTTCAGCAAGTGATTGTTTACAAACACAACTTGTTTAAATATCAATATTATTAGCTAATGTTGTTAGCCATTTTCTCAGATATTAAAACTTTATATTTTAGATAAAATGTATTGTCTATGTCCTATATAGCATCTGTCATGTGTGACAGTTATAATCTTAATTAATTATGTAGGAAAAAAAATGATGAGTGAACGTACCTCTGCAGAACATATTTCCATGAAACTGCTGAGTGCTTTTTCAACATTGGTCTTTTGTTTTGTTGCAATGAGAGCCATGTTTTCTAAAATTGTAACCCTCAGATCTCCAGGCTTTGGCTTCACTTCCTGTCAAAAGGAACAAATAATTTTAAATTAAAAAAAAAAAGAGAATCAGTTTTGTAGAAACAAACAAAATTTACCTGAAACTGAAATAGCTTTTTTTTTTTTTTAAATTTCTTCAAACAAAAGAGTAAAATTCTAGCCAATGTTGGGCATGCCAACCACCCTATTAACAACGCTTTCCTAGTTGTCAAATAAAGACTAATGTAAAAAAAAAAAAACCCCCACAAGTTGCTATAAATTAGTTGTCAACAAGTTCTCCCATTGGCCTCACCTTCAGCAGCTTCTCTGCTGTCCTGACTGCCAACATCTCTGTGTCTGTCTTGTCTTTGTCCATGTTAGACCTATCACAAAAAGTATACTCATAAACTTTTCAGAAACAATAAACATACTAAGTTCATTGATGATCAAATTTCAGAAATAAAAGGTACCAGCATAAAATTAACTAAAACAATTATATTGGTCCTAAGGTGTGTGAATTTTTAAAATAAAGAGTATTTGCCTTGAATGAATTTAAATAACATCATAATGAAAAATAAATTTAAAAGCAAGTTTAATTGTTTTCCTATAAAAATCTATAACTTAAATAAAAAAATGTCCTTACGATCCACTTTCCCCATCCACTGAATCAAAGACTTCTCCACCAACAGTCTCATTGTCAGGGTTCAGGCAGATCTCTATCATGTTGTAGATGGCGTTGTTCCCCCAGTCTGAATCTTTACGAGCCTTGTTAAAATGTTTCAGCGCTTCTGTTGTATTCCCTGAATACCTGAGCAGGTAAAATGTACAAAACATGTTACAGTATATATTCATAAAAAAATAAGTATAATATTCCTATAACACTTCATTTTGCTTGGCTATGTTAATTCTCAACATTAATTGAAAAGAACTGTTTCTTATTTCTATATAAAATGAAACAAAGTATTTTTAATCCTTTTGAAGTTATTTACACAAAAAAAACTTTACATATTTGAAAAAAATTGAATTTTTAAGATAAAAAAAAGGATATAGTAAAAATTATAAGCAGTATAGAATTATATTTTTAATATAAATATTTATTTCCATCCCATAATTTGTACACATTTTGAGTTAGTTTTAGGTACAGGTTTCCTTACCATTCATACAACCCTTTACAGTAAGAGAATCCAGCTTCAAATGGAGCTCTAGAGGAAGCTGTCTGTGCCTGTTCAAGAAATTTTGGCACCTCGTCAAGTTTACCTGCTCGTCTCATTAAGTCAACCAATCTTGCCAGGGCCTCGTAGTTATCTTAAAAATAACAACAAACCGAATGGTTATCACATTCTGATTCAGTGACATCACAAGATTTGGTATCATTTGGCGCAGAAACTCAAGATGTCAACACACCGCCCCCCCCCCCCCCCCACTCCATTATCGCTTCAATTATTACGCATTTTGTTTTGGTGTCAGTCTTCCATCAACTCCTATTTTATAAAATTAACAGGATAAAACTTTGTTAGGTCATTAAATTGTGCCTTATTTAAAGTTGATGTCACCCCATAAATGGTGTCACGTGGAACAGACTGCATATCTTGTACTGATTTATCTATTTTATTTTTCAACAGTTGGTTAGTTATGTAGTCTCAAAATTATTACAGTACATGTCTAAACTCTGAGCGATTTCTAATTTTTATTTTTGAAGAGTTGAAAATAACACTTTATTGACCTCTCTTCCCTTAACTAACTAATGGTATATTACAGCACCAACTTGAATTTAATAAACATGTAAATATAAAATAAATTATTTTTAGAAATTTCTTCTGATTGTATGATTAACATCACTTACTACAACCAACTAATTTACATAGGATGTGTTATAGTTTTTAACAAACCTGGTTTTGAATTTAACAACTGCTGAAAGTGGTACATGGCTGAGTCATACTCATTTCTGCGAAACATCAAATCAGCCAACATCTGTTGGGTGGAGAAAATGTTATCATTAGTACTGTTACTGTAGTTATTTAAACATTATCATTAGTACTGTTACTGTAGTTATTTAAACATTATCATTAGTACTGTTACTATAGTTATTTAAACATTATCATTAGTACTGTTAATGAAGTCAAATAAACTTTATCATTAGTACTGTTAATGAAGTCAAATAAACTTTATCATTAGTACTGTTACTACAGTAAATTAAACATTAACAGTAGTACCATTTGTGTATATTTTTTCATTAGTACTACTTTTGCAGCAAAATAAATTTTATCATTAGTAATGTTACTGAAGCAAAATAAATTTTATTAGTACTGCTATTGAAAGGAATTCTTATGTGTTCTCCAAATGCATTAAAAAACTCTGCATAATCTGGGAAACAGACTAATTCAATGATTGAACAAGGAGTTTACTTGGGTTTATGAAAATCAACTGAATAATTTTACAAATACAAAAATTTAATACTGAGGTTCTGCTAGAGAAATCTAGATTACTTATTTAAAATCAAGACAATATTGCAGTTAGGATAGGACTAAACTTTGGTTAAAATAACTTCACAGAGCCTCAATAAAAAAAAGTCTTACAATGGTGGCGCTGTCATTCTCACTGTCATTCTTCAGCAGTGTCATCAGCTGGTGCTGGCATGAGTCAAGGTCCTCTGTCATCAGGTACAGCCCAGCCAGGTCCAAACTCCTCTAGTAAAAGTCAACACAAAATGTTGTCAACAAATACAGAATTTAAAAAAGAATCCATAGTTACTAATATTGAAGTTGGAGTGTAGGCTTCCAGTGTAAGTTAATGATAATTGGGGATAAAAATTTTAATTGAACTTTTGAGTGAAAAGAGATTTAATTGAGTCTCACTCCAACTGGCTGCATTACAAAAAAAAAAAAATTTCTTTTTAAAAGATTTTAAAAAAATTATCAGTTGGCCTATTAGGCAAAAAAAAAAAAAAAACCCAACCTCCCAAAAAACCCAACAAATCTAGTGTTTCCATAACTGTCACTATATTTAAGTCACCATGTTTAATAAAGTTTTGTCGCTCAAGTTTTGATCTAGCTGGCAATCTAATAATTACACAAATAATGGGGGGTGGGGGGGGGGGGGGGGGGGGGGAGAGAAAAGAAAGGCTTGAAATGTCCAGAGATAGATTCAAAATGACAAGAAGATGTTAGTAAAATTGCTTTTAGAAGCTGTTGAAGAGAAAACCCAGTCAAAGATGTAATGGTAAGATTAGATCCACATTTTCCTACATCACTTTTCCTGTAATTTATTAATCACACTTTTCTGTCACAGGCAAGCTCACAGCTATGCTAGGATTAAACAAGGCACTCTTTACTGTGACAAATAAGTCTCACTTTAATAAATGGCTGACTTTTTTACATGAACAGGTCTCACTATATTATTTACTGAGATAGACAGGACTCACTTTAGTGTGACAGATAAGTCTCACTTTAATAAATGGCCGACTTTTTTATATGAGCAGGTCTCACTACATAGTCCAGTCTCACTTGACTGTGACTGACAGGTCTCAATAAGTGAAGTCTTACCTTGCTGTCATTCTCGCTGTACACAAGGGCATCCTTGTAAAACTTGATGGCTGTGTCCGTGTCTCGCTGGTTGGATGCTTGCTCAGCTAGCAGACTTGAGATGCTGGAGCCAGACAAAACTATTTTTTAACTGCTGAGATCACTTCATACAAGAGCAGACTGATTTAGATCTAATTTTAATTTTCAAAACCATAACATAAAATTTATTTAATGTCTAAAATATCTTTAATTTGATTTAAAATATATTTTTTTTAAAAAGGAATTCATTTCCTACCTTGCAGCAAGTTCTTTTTGTTCATGAATAGCATCAGGCTGCTCAATCTGGACACGTTTCAGAACTCTTTAGATTAAGAAAACCAATTATCAGCAATTTTAAAATCAGAATTTTAATTTAAGGAAACAAAACCACTAAATAAATACATTGTTAGTAGGTTAGCACAAACTGCTTTAAAAATCTGAATAAAATAGTTCAATACAAATTCCTCACTTGGCTTGCATATCTCTAGCCTTCTGTAACGTGCTCTGGGCCTCTTCTAGTCTGTCCACTTGGTTGTAGACTTTTGCCAGAAGCATCAAGTAACGTGTGTGTTCCATCAAAGTTTCAAGATCTACATGAAGGTGTTATATCATTTTACAGCTGAATCAGTTTTTAACTTCTTTTTCTTCTTCATTCTTTATTTTTAATGTTGGAAGGGATCCCCCTCCAGCACAATTAAGTATAAATGTCTACTGGTTATGCACTATTTAGGCCATTGACTCCAATTTCAGCCTGCTTTTCTTTTTGGATTTGCTTCCATAGCCTTTGTCCAATCAAGAACAAACTACAAGGTAGCAGTTGTTTGATTTTGGAGTTGTCTCTCCTAGAAGAGTGGCTGTCCCCAGCTAACGAGCCTCATCTGCCCGAGGGTTCGAACTCGATACTTTTCGGTTTAGCAACAATGAGCTTTACCGACTCAACCACATCGACCCCTCAGTTTTTAACAAATTTTTATTTTTTTCTTAGAACTTTTAGCTGGAATTCCATTAAGAAAACTGTAGTTATGACAAATAAAAACAACTATACTTATTTAAACCATCAACATGTACAGCAATTATCACTTAGAACAAGACATATCTTGACCATCACTACACAAAACAAGACATATCTTGATTATCCTTTCATACAACCTTGACCATCATACAACCAGACATACCTTGACCGTCATGCTCTAATGCTTGGCGCAAAACCTTCTCCGCTTTATCAAATTGTCGCAGTTTCAGAAGTAACTCTGCCAAATCATATCTAAAACAAATTACAGCTGTCAATTTTTTAAACAAATCTATTGCAAAATTGCAATCCATAACAATAAACTAAGTACTAAACAATTTCTCTCTATCGAAAACCTACCTCAATGTTGCCTGACCACCAGCTTTAAGAGAAACTTCATAATAGTTGATTGCCTGTCAAAACATGCAAATGCATTCTGTTATTGTACTAAAAATATACATAAATATTGAATTGACAACATTCAAATTAATTAAATTGATCCATAACCATTGGATTAACAACATCCATAAAAATTAGATTAAAATTATTTTAATAATAGTTTATTGTATTTTTTTAATCTCATCAACTATTTTGCTTTAACAATAAATTTTAAATTAACAATAAATTGTTTAGTGCACAAACCTTTCCATAATTGTGTGTCTTGACCAACGCTTGACCAATCTTCTTGGCCAGAGCTGCATCCTTGGGATTACTTTTCAGTGCGGATTCATACACCTCTATAGCTTTTTCAGGCTAGATGATCAAAGATTGTAAACAATAACTTACTACATTTTAAAACCTCTTTACTGTAGCAAACAAGAATAAGACAAATTGCTAAACACAGTACAGCACACATATTTTTTTGATGAGTTTTATAAATTACACTGATTTAAAAAAATACCAACCTCTTGAATGCTCATGTAAGCATCCCCAAGTAATAGACATGTGTGTGTACTTGGGTGCTTATCCACTAGCTCTCTGTAAATAGTTATACAATTAAATATTCAATAAGAAATTCTTTTTTTTTTAACCGATTAAATCCCAATTAAAAACATTAAACATAACCAAACTAAAAACTAAATCTAAAAACAATTAAAACACATTCTGTTAATACATAGAATTATGTAAAAATAAGCTCATCACGTTAATTACTTAACTTGATATTTAACTTGACACTATCATGTAAATGCAGTTTTATATTTCTAAGAATTAATTGACAAAATCTAGCATTATTTAAATAAAATTCTCATTAAACAATGCATGTCATAAAACTTTTATGTATAGCTGGGAAAGATAATAAAAAAAAAAAACAATATTTTGCTGCTGTGTTAAAAAAGGTTAAAAAAAAATATTTTAAAAAGAAAATTTTTAAAAATTGACCTGTAACAACTAGCATAAAGTCGCTTATCCTTCCTGTGGTTGAGGTAAATGTCAGCCATTTTCTCCCTAGCCTCCACAAAGTACGGCTGTTCTGGCGTGATGTTCCTCAACATTCCGAGGGCCATCTCCACATCACCCCTGGCCAGGGAGAGGTCAGAGTTGGCGATCAGAATACGAACTTCCTCAGGGGTTCCTTGAAATTCATTGATAGCGTCTTGCATTATCTTTGCTGCTTCATGCTAGAAAATTAAAATTCTTAATATAGAACTGGTTTACTGTAAGAATCATTTACTAAAGTTACAATTCATAAGGTAAAACTCTTTTACTAAAGATAAGATCCGGAAAATGTAATTTTGGTTACATATTAATAAATGAGCAATGACAATTTGTTTAATTTAATATTAATAATGTTAGCTGGTTGTTTGAAAAACTGTTTCTTGCTGTATGAGCTGTTTCCTGCAATCTTGATTTAAACTATCTAGCTGCATGTTAGTGTAGGCTGTTCTGTGCTGTATGTTGTATAAGCTGTTTCCTGCAATCTTGATTTAAACTATCTAGCTGCATGTTAGTGTAGGCTGTTCTGTGCTGTATGTTGTATAAGCTGTTTCCTGCAATCTTGATTTAAACTATCTAGCTGCATGTTAGTGTAGGCTGTTCTGTGCTGTATGTTGTATAAGCTGTTTCCTGCAATCTTGATTTAAACTATCTAGCTGCATGTTAGTGTAGGCTGTTCTGTGCTGTATGTTGTATAAGCTGTTTCCTACAATCTTGATTTAAACTATCTAGCTGCATGTTAGTGTAGGCCGTTTCTTGCTGTATGTTGTATAAGCTGTTTCCTACAATCTTCTTCTTTCTTCTTCTTCGTTCTTAATTATTAGTGCTGAAGGGGATTGAGATTTATCTGTCAGTGGGTTTGAACTCGAGACTTTGTTCGAATTTATCAACAATGAGCTTTTTGCCGACTCGACCATGCCTCCATCACAATTAAGCGTTACGTGTCAACTGGTTATGCGCCATTGAGGCTATTGACTCCGATTTCAGCCTGCTTTTCTTTTTGGATTTGCTTCCATAGCCTTTGTCCAACCAAGAACAGACTACAAGGCAGCAGTTATTTAATTTTGGAGTTGTCTCTCCTAGAAGAGTGGCTGTCCCCAGCTAAGGAGCCTCACCTGCAATCTTGATTTAAACTATTTTGTTACATATTTTAGTGTAGGCTGTTTGTGCGGTACTCCTGTTACAGTACCTGTTCGTTCAGAAGTCTGTGAGCTTCTGCCAGTTCCAGAAAAACAGAAACTCTGTCATTGACACTGATCAGGTCTGTCTTGGTCTTCTTGGAATCTGAGGCTGAAACAGTTTGTGGGATACATCATTACTACATTTAAATGCTTCAAAATAGGCATAAAAAATATGTAAGAATGTATCTTATGCAACTATAGTTAAAATGTTTGTAAAAATTCTGTTTTATATAATGCATCTGAGGGGCCTGCTATTATACATTGTTTTTAATGAATAGTTAATTTTTTAATAATATGTAATGAAGGGAGCTTTTATAGTTTGAAACAATATTTCTTTAGGATAAAAAATTAAGCAAAAGTATAAATGTCATTATTAAATATTTTCTTCTTCTTCATTCTTAATTTTAGTGTTGGAAGGGATCCTTTCCAACACAATTCAGTATACGTGTCAACTGGTTATGTGCCATTGAGGCCATTGACTCAGATTTCAGCCTGCTTTTTTTTGGATTTGCTTCAATAGCAACCAAGATCAAATTATTAAGTATAATTTGTTGAACCTTCTCCAAAATATATCTTTTAAGTAGAGTATCAATGTCAAACAATCTACCATTTTCTTAAAAATGTTTTGTTAAACCCCAGTACACATATAAATATGTTTGTGGAATAGTTCTAATTAACTAAATGGCGGATATTTTATTGAAAGCTAAAACAAAAAGCTACACACTACTCTTTTTAATCCCAGGTAATGCCATTGCCATTTGTAAGGTTTTCACTGCCTCTGCCATATTTCCCTGCTTTTTTAGGATTCTGGCCAAAATAAGATGGTACAAAGGATGATCTCTGACCTAGGACAAAATAAATTCAAAACAGATATTTCAACAGGTATTTAACCTAAAGTACCAGGTAAACCAACTTCAACAGCAATGTAAAAACACAGGCAGATTAAAAAAATTAACCAACAATATAATTTAAAAATTAATACATTCATATATAAATTTATAAGCTTATACCATTCTTCACAATGGCAATAGAAATTGTGCAATGTTTTCATGGAAGTCTACCCAGATTTCCCTTCTCCCCTTCCCTGTGGTGTAATTTAAACTGAAAACAAAGTTTCTCTGGGCATCAGTGCCCATGGAGAGCCCTACCCATGCACGACCACCTTCTCCAACTTTATAAAACAAAGACAAAGTGGCTTTACAGATGACAATAGGAAGGACTGACACACTACCTAGCAGATTGTATTATAGATATAGCAAAAGTAAAGAGTGCTGCCAACCTGAAAGTTGTAGCTCAGGCCAACTTCCAGGGACTGATTTGCCAGTTTGAAGTTGTTCTGGTTAAGATGGATCTGCGCCATTAAAATATGAGCATCAGAGAATGTGGCGTCCTGGTCTAGACAGTGTTGTAATGTTGTCTGAGCAGAATTTACATCACCTGGCAATTCAAATTTTCAAGCATAATTTTACTCTCTTATCTGACAAAAAAGCTGTATAATTATCTCCTTTTTCTCTAAGTCAGAACACTGAATCATATCTAATGTTGAATAACTGTCTTAGTCATAACAGAGAATCACATTGAAAGATGAATTTTTTTTTTTTGAAAATGAAATCAAGCAAATAATGATTTTTAGTTGGTACTAGGAACCAACATATGACATAGATCCTACCAGCAAAAACAAAATGGATGAATAAAGACCTTGACCTACCTGCAAGAAACTTGACCTTGGCGATAAGAAACAAGCCAACACCAACAGTGTAATTTTACAAATGAATACATTGATATATAAAACCAAAACAAAATGGATGAATAAAGACCTAGACCTACCTGCAAGAAACTTGACCTTGGCAATAAGAAACAAGCCATCAATGAGACCTGGAACAGCACGGGTTAAGGGATCCAGCACCTGGTGGCATCTTTTGAGTACTGGACTCACTGGCTGACCTGAGGTCACAGGCTGGAACCAGAACATTCATTACATCATCAGCTGGTCAAGTTTAGCCATGGGGTTAGAGGATATTCAAAATGTTAAATGTGTGAAGCAATGGGGTTAGAGGATATTCAAAATGTTAAATGTGTGAAGCAATGGGGTTAGAGGATATTCAAAATGTTAAATGTGTGAAGCAATGGGGTTAGAGGATATTCAAAATGTTAAATGTGTGAAGCAATGGGGTTAGAGGATATTCAAAATGTTAAATGTGTGAAGCAATGGGGTTAGAGGATATTCAAAATGTTAAATGTGTGAAGCAATGGGGTTAGAGGATATTCAAAATGTTAAATGTGTGAAGCAATGGGGTTAGAGGATATTCAAAATGTTAAATGTGTGAAGCAATGGGGTTAGAGGATATTCAAAATGTTAAATGTGTGAAGCAATGGGGTTAGAGGATATTCAAAATGTTAAATGTATGAATATAAACATAAGGGGACTTTATAAACAGCTGGGGGGAGTTTAGTTTCTTTTAAATATGTATGAATATAAACTTAAGGGGACTTTATAAACAGGTGTTGGGAGATAAGGTTTTTTGTTGTTGACAAAATCCAGGGGAGATGCTAATATTTAAATGGTTATACTTGAAACACAACTTACCACTTGAGGGCCAAACACAAGATAATCTTTAATGACTCGTAGAAGAAAGTCTGGGTTTAATTTACAGTAGTAATCTATCCCTAGTGGCAAACCCTGAGAATAGAAAAAACATTTTCATAAATATTTTTATAACTAACTGACCATAAATGACATCACTCTTCTAGGAGGAGGGAAGGTTTGGACTTTTATGAAGATAAGTGATGAGTGGATCAGAAATTTTAAAATTAGAAACTGCAGTTCTTTCAAGTTCCTAAAAACTTTCAAAAGTAAAAAAATTAAAAAGTGATCAGCATACTCAAAGTTTACCTGGCTCAGTTAATGTTTAATTTAAAAAATCGTTGCGTGTGGTGATAAAGGAAAAAAGCTTAACATCATTTACAGTTGAAACATTTTAGCAATCAAAAGTATAAAACACATTTTTTTTAGATAGATTCTTGGAGATTGAGGTTAAAAAAAAAGTTGTGTATAAACTTGGGTCCACACCTTAAGACCAGCAAAGTGCAGCTCTATTGATTCATTCAGCAGCTCCATCACCTTATCAGGACCTTTTCCTTTCTTCATGGCTAGCACTGATGATAAGTATGCCAGCTCCTACAGAAAACCATTTAAATTCAACACTTCTAAATTCTATCTTTAAAATGAAATGATCAAATCATTCTTCATACATAGAATACATGAAAAATAATGTTTTTTTTCAACAACAAAAAATAGAAATTAAAATAAAATCATTTATATTGATGTAAGTTGAATCTACCTTTTATATTAAATGTAGTTAAAAATTTAAAAAAAAAAGTGCTGAAACAATTCTTAAACCAATGAATCAACAATTTTTAAAAAATCCTTTTTTTAAAGGAATATTTTGGAATCTCAATAAAGCATAAGTTTGATTACTACAAATAATAGTATATTTTCATGCTTTTGTAAAATAGAAAATACATAATAAAATTGATTATGTGCAGTTTACTTCATTAACTGAAAGATAGAGTGAGTGAATTTTTCTTACGGCTGAGCGGCCAATACTTTGCTGTATCTCTGTCAGAAATTCCAGCTGCTGGGCCGCTTCGTCAATGTGGCCCTGCAATAGCTGGCAGCCAATGATTCCAGTGAGTGCCGCCACACTTGTCTCATCCAGCTGCATGGCGGTACGATGGCACTTCATGGCATCTTTCACCTGGTTAGTACATGTGAGAAGGTTCAATTGTTAGGATCTATGTACCTAACCTACTAAGTACATAACACAACATCTTTCACCTGGTATATGTGAGAAGGTTCAATTGTTAGGATCTATGTACCTAACCTACTAAGTACATAACACAACATCTTTCACCTGGTATATGTGAGAAGGTTCAATTGTTAGGATCTATGTACCTAACCTACTAAGTACATAACACAACATCTTTCACCTGGTACATGTGAGAAGGTTCAATTGTTAGGATCTATGTACCTAACCTACTAAGTACATAACACAACATCTTTCACCTGGTTGGTACATGTGAGAAGGTTCAGTTGTTAGGATCTATGTACCTAACCTACTAAGTACATAACACAACATCTTTCACCTGGTACATGTGAGAAGGTTCAATTGTTAGGATCTATGTACCTAACCTACTAAGTACATAACACAACATCTTTCACCTGGTACATGTGAGAAGGTTCAATTGTTAGGATCTATGTATCTAACCTACTAAGTACATAACACAACATCTTTCACCTGGTTGTTACATGTGAGAAGGTTCAATTGTTACTCCATTGGCAATTTAACAAAAAATAAACAGACAAAGCTGCTTAAGATAAAACTTTTACCAAGTAAATTTGTATGCATAAAATAATTTTATGTGTGTCAGAGAAATTTAGATCTATGCCTAAGTACCTAGCCCACTAAGTACATAACACTACCTAACTGTGTAAATTCAAACCATGACTTAAACTGGAACTTGTCTAGAAAAAAATAATTTTTTTTCATATTTGTATTAGTTTTCACTGAAAAGTAGGCCTTTTCTTAACCATTTTTTTTAGGCGATAAACAATTAAAATTTAATTTTCAATAAATGATTTTTAACTTGCTTAATCTGACTTAGTACTAAGAAACATTATTTACTCTAAAATTCCTAGAAATAAAAAAATTATACTTCTTTTCTTTCCTAAATTTACATGGTACATCACAGCAACAACCAATGTTTATTATTTTTCCAAACAATATTGTAACCAGAGTTTTGAGAGTTACCTACCTTGCCCTGCATCATCAACTGACAGCCCATCTCATTGACAAAGTCTGCATTACTGCTGTCCAGGGACATAGCCCTCTCCATTAGAACATTTGTCTGCTGGAGAACTAAGTGGTTTCTGCCACACTGGTGATAGAAAAAAACCTACGTTTGCTGATTTCAGTTTGGCCTCTTTGGGAATTTTAAAATAATTGAAATAAAACCTTTTTTTCATCATTTGGAATTTTAAAATCTTAAAGGAAACAGAATCAAAATAAGATTTTATTTGTAAAATGGAAGATAATGTGGGCAAAAAAACAACCAACCCCTTACTATATTAAACAAAGTCTCTATAGAAGCACCAACACACAAATTTAGTCATGAGACTATCTTCTTCATGTCAAGTAACAGAAACAAAATTCAAGACTTGAATTATAAATACAGTGTAATGAAAATTGTACCAGTTTGGAGAAGACTTGAGCGAAGTGCAAATATAGCTGTCCACTGCGTGACTCCACTCTATCCAGGGTGGTAATCAAGTCTGCTATTTTTGTTGCAGCCTAAGTGTTTAAACAAATTATTTTTAAATCCAAATATATATTTATTATATTTAATCAAAATTGAAAACAAATTAAAGTAACAGTTTGTATTGGTAAAAAAATGTATTTAGTCCCAAAAATTAACCATGCTTTAACAGGTTGATTTTCGCTTATAGATCTAATTATTTTTAACACTGCTAATAACTGTATTGCACATACCTCTGCATAGTTTCCTTCTCTACATAAAATTTGTACAATCTGATACTCCATTGCTTCAATGCAATGAATATCAACATTTTCTGCTCTAAAAGAAAAAACAAAACTACTAATCACACGTAAATTATAACAACTGATAAGTAACTTTAAAATGTAAACTAAATTATTTGTAAGGGTAAAACAAAAACGTGAATCAGACATAAAAATAGAAAATGATGTGGATCTAACATTTTCTAAGATAATTTGTTTGTATCTAAAATAATTTGTTAGGAGTAAAATATCAGACCATAGAATTATGTTCATTTAAATAGGATAGCCATTAAAAAACAACAACTGGGCAGCCAAGATGAGAAACAAACCTTTGAGCAGCTTCTATAGTCTGGTCCCAGTCCTGCAGTGCCAGCTGAAGCTTCATCTTCTCAACAAAAGCTGGCAGGAAGCTGGGCTGGCTGACCACCACCTGGTTGATGAGTTCCAGGGCACCGCTGTAGTTGTGTTTCAACTCAAAGTACTTGGCCTTCCCAAAGAGAGCGCTCACATTCTTTGAGCCATCACTGTACAGACATATTTTTTTCCAGTTAAGTGAATTGACTTTTATCACTCTAGTTGCAGCTTTTTTAAACAATGGATTAACAATATCCATAACCATTAGTTTAACAGCATCCGTAATTCTATTAACAATAACCTACCACAACAGAATTAATAAAATTTAGAACAATTTGATTTAAATAAACAAAAACTGAATTAAAAACATAAATAGTTATTGAAAAATTATCAATAACCATTGAATTAAGAAAAGTGATAAATATAAAAGTAAACAATACCACAAAACCCTTAACTACTGGATTTAAAAAGATTTCTTCAGGCTAATTGACTATTCACACACCATCAACACAAAAAGTAAAAATACAAGTTACACTTACACCAATGCCTCCTCAAAAAATTTAATAGCTCTCTTTGATTCTCGGCCACTCATCAACTCAATCCAACCCTTCAGTGTGAGACCCTGTCATTAAAATAAGGAGCAATTGTCATCGTAATCTATTCATGTGTTCTTTAAACAATCCAATTGTGTCATACATTCTACATTTCTCATATTTTTATGTATACTTTAATACTTTTTATACTAATGCAAATTTTAAAAATAATTAAATTAGTTGAGTAAAAAAACTAAGATAAATTTTAATACTGTTATTTAAGACTTTAGTAGAATCAGCATGTTAATTCTTTTTATATACTTCTAATAAATTTATGTTTCTACTAGTGGAAGGGTACAAAGCTTAAGAGCAACAATTTTATTAATTTCATTAAAGTTTATGCAGGTTTTAACACTTTAAAACTTGAAACAGAACACACAAAAAAACCCAACTATTTTAATACCAGTTGTTTGGTTATAACCTGAAAAATAAAAATCCCCCCAAATTATCTCTGTGATTTAATTGTATAATTAATAATAGTAAACCATTAAATTAATGCTTGGATATGATTAAAGTAATAGTAAGTCAATAAGTTAATGCTTGGCTTTGATTAAAACAATCAAGGGAGAGTGAAGATGGGAATGAAATGTGTCCTCTCCATAAGAAATGATAACTTAATTTTCTATGATTTAAGTCATCCATCAGAGCTAGTCACATACATACTGTATAAGCATGGGTTTCTCAAGTGGGGGTGATTATGGATGGGGTTAGCATGGGAGGTGGGTGGTTCAAAATCTTTGAGGGATAAATAACACCCCATGGCCAAGAATTTGTGCTTATAAAGCTACTTTTCTCACAGTGCCGACCACAAAGTTGTCAACTAGAATCTTTTAGCTTTACCCCTTGACAACACCAACCCATTTTCACATTACATCATTAATATATAAAAAAAAAACAAAAAAAAAACAAGCAAAACAAAATAATAGCTGTGAGGTCATCAAAGGAAAAAAAATGTTAATTTACATCAGTACTTTTTGGGGACATCTTCAGCATTCGGTCAATGTATTCCCTTGCCTTATCATACTTCCCTGTGTTGAACAGGAACAGCCCAGCAAAATATAGGCCCTTCGGATAAATTAGAATAAGTAAAAATACATACATTTTATTATTTAAAAGAAAAATTAAAAAAACATTTAAAGCATACAGCAGAGGCATATTTTTAAGGCCGATTCTAGTCGGAATAAGATACGCATGCGATACGCATGCGCAATGGAGAGAAACTACGACTTGCCTTAGCGGCGATATTTTCGATGGTACTGCGCATGCGTGTGTTTACAACCGCAGAACCCTAATACCAACCCTAATCCTATCCTTAACTCTATCCCTAATCCTATCCCTAACCCTAACCCTATCCCTAACCCTAGCCCTAATCCTATCCCTAACCCTATCCCTAATCCTACCCCTAACCCTCATTCTAGCCCTAACCCTAGCCATAGGTCACTGCGCATGCGCAGAACTATCTTTTGCCAAAAAATCTTATTCCGAGTAGACACTTCGTATTTTTAAACTCAAAGATGAGAAGTTACAGTTTCTATTGTTGTCCATTTATTTAATAAGGAATTTTTTTTTATTACCAGCTCTCCAGCTTGTTTCCTTTCTTCTTTTAACTTTGCATCAAGATCTTGAACAGCATCACGATCTAGAAATGAGAAATCCATAAGTTTTTATCACTGATATTTTAATCACCATGCACCTGATATTTTAATTAATGTAGCACTTAATAAAGAATACAGAAGAGCCTATGCTTTTAGACCTATATTATATAGGGCAGAAGAAGGAGAGTTCATTTATTTTTGTGGTCTATGTTGTTAGTTTCCCATACTAGTTATACTGAATGGGATGGTCAGACATTAGAGTGAATGACCAATTATTCAAAATTCTCAAGTCAGTAGGATGTCCAAGAGTCGACTCAGCTGGGGACAAATGCATCTGATGCACTTTAGGGGGAAAAGAAAGATGGCCAGATCAGACATGCCTACCCCTGTCAGCCAAAAGTAGGAACAGTTATGCCTAAAAAGAGGAATTTGTGGCCAAAAAGAGGAACATACACGCTGACGCAACTTTACTAAGTCAAAAATAAAAAAATAATTAATTAAAAATTACTCTAAACTCTATTGACATTAGTAGGCTTCTAGTCATATATAAATATAACTAGTCTCTAGGCTACATTTAAATACTGCTTAATGTCAGCTTACATTAAAAAAAAAATTAACCAGTAACCTGAGATCCCCCCCCCTCCCCCCCAAGACCCTTGATCTACCTAGTAAAAGTCCTAGTTACTTCTTACTAAGTTCTTCATAATAGTACTTACTTGTTAAGATACAACTTACAAGATAGATCAGTATTCAGTATTCGCTATTTCATTATGTACTACTAGATTCTCTACTACTACTAGATCCGTCTCTAGATCTACTATGTACTATGTAGATCTAGAAATTAGCATGTTAGTCATGATTTTATTGTATTTTTCTCCCTACATGTTATTTAAGGCATAAATTAGATCTACTATTCAATTGCAAATACTAAAAAGAACGTTCTGTAGCTAGGTTGTCCACATTTTCTATTACTATTAGTAGATGTAGATCTAGTTTAGCTAGATCTGGTATTAGATGATACTTTTAAATATAGTAAGTAAACTAGGAAAAGGAAACGTATGCCAAAGGGAGATAATCGTTTTTCCCTTGCCTTTTTTCAATTCACTTTATTACCTTTCTTTATTAATTATTTTTTTCAAAAAAAGTCGGAACAAACCGAGTCAAAATCGGAATGACGGAACAGATTACTTTTTTGGTGAAAAAACAGGACGGTTCCGATTTTGGCGGGATGGTAGGCATGTCTGGCAGATTAACTGACAACATATCTGTTCATAGGTCACATAACAATGATCTCTACTTCAACTGCCTTGTTGATCAGTACGTCTGAAAGAGTAACTATCAGACTAGTCATGTACCAAACAGAGCTGTCAGGAAGATCAGTCAACACAAGATTTTTGCTTTATCAATCGTGCTACAATATTTGGGTGAGAAAACTTACCAATGCTAGGAGATTTCTTGTGAGCAAGCATGAGTGCCATAGTTGCACATAAGTTGATGTCTCTTTTATCTTTAAGTACATCCAGCTCCCTCATCCCTTCTTGAACTCGATCTGAGATTTAAAACAGCATTACATAAGCTATGAAAAAATCAACATCACAAAAAGTAACAGAAAAAATATCAGCTTTACTAAAACGTCTGAGGAAAGAAGTCAGCATCAAATAAAGTCTGAGATAAAAATCAAATTAACTTCAGTTTAGCCTGGGAAAAACTCAGCATCCTTTTAAAGCTTTTTTTTTATCAACTGCAATAAGAAAAAATAATGATAATGTATTTTTTTTTTACAGTTTTCATTCTTGAAATCTATTTTATTGCAGTCCATCTAATAAAATACGTTTTACACTGTGCAATAATTGTTCTGAGTAAAATGCCAAAGGTATTAAATTATAAATTAACTGTTTATATAAAATGCTCAATTGACTAAATAAATGTTTTAAAAGCTTAAAAAAAAAACCTACGTAGCTATTAAAGAAATATAAGTATTATAATTAGAAAATAATTAACTCTTTGAATTAACTTTATAAAAAGCTTATTATGTCAAGGGTGATTTTTGATCATTAATTTGAACCTTCTTCCAAGGTTCTTGGAACGATTGTAAATCATTTGAATAAAAAATAATCTGCGAATGTATGTGACTTACTCTGCAAAACTTTGGCAAATCCAACATAGAATTTGAGAATGGGGTCATTGCCATAGCGTTGAAGCCCTTCCACTGCAGCAGATTCCATGTGACCATAGTAGCCTGCTTGGCAGTAATAGTTGATTTTTGCCTAAAAATAGCATTTCACATAAACAGGTTTGTGGTGATTACAAAATACAAACATCTATCTTATTAAAACTACTCAGTACCAAAATATGAAACCTTAATTTTTAAAAAAAATTAACTTATTATTTAGGCCTAAACAAAATTCATCATTGCAATGAAAAACTCTAAAAAACAAAGCCAAAAACTGGACTTGCACTTTGAGGGTTACAAGGTCAAGGCCAGAGCAGAACCGAGTTATTTATAGTTATAATGATGAAACTGTTGTGACGTAGCTAGTGTTACTAAAATAGAATTTGACTTGTAAACTTATAGACAAATGGACAAGCTATTAATAGAAAATATGCAATAGGTGGCACCGAAATAGAATAGTTTGACCTTGTTGACAACACCGGATGTACAACTGGGTGTGACTGGGTGTATATAAGAGCCATACTATTGGGTATGTAGGTAGAGAAGATGGAAAGATCGGAGGCAGACAGGCCGAGAGGCAGAGAATGGATTGAATGCAGATACAAGTGTAAGCAGATAGTGAGAGACGGAGTGATATAGTGTGAGGACCTGTGACATCGGAGGTCTGTTGAGATTCACCTAATTATCTGAACTGTGATTATTCAAGAAGAAATAAAGTGAAGTATTATTGAACCTGCGGGCAGAGTGTGCTTCTTTATATCAGGTGGGTGGATCGGTGCCAAATGAGGTGTCCGCGGCCTAGAGGCAGGAATTCCTAAGCTGCGGGCAAATACCTACAGACAGGTGGTTACACGGCTCTGTCGCATTTGGGTGCCGTGAGGAAGGGGTTGCACAAGACCTAACAAAGAAGTCACACATGCTGCTGCCTTTGTCACACTAGTATTGTTCAATAACCGGGAGGCGGGTTTTTCAGGTTATAAAAACAATCTATAGGTGGCAGGGCTATATTTGCCAGGAAAGCATCTCAAAGTTTGCTTTGGAGAATGAAGGCTAAATTTAAAAGTTGGTTTCATTAAAAATAATTGAAATTTAAAATATCAATTTCCAGAATGCAAAAATTATTACCATAGTTGAGCATTATTAGGTTCATCAGTCTATGAAAAATTGAATCAAATATTGTAAGCCATTTTTTAATAAGACTGGCCAAAAAATGACAACCAATTTTTATTAATTTTTTTTACCATCACATGACCGCTATTTGGCTGATCACTAGGAAGGAACTGTCCAGTTAACAAGTATAACCCAGGGGTCGGCAACCTTCTGAAGCGGAAGAGCCAAAAGTTACAATTTTCAAAATTTCCCTGGTTTTAAAGAGCCACTAACATTTTTTTTTATTTCAAATAATTTATTTTTTTATTAAGATTATTAGTATTTGTTCAAGGAGCTGGAGAGCCGCATTTTGACATCAAAAGAGCCGCATGCGGCTCGCGAGCCGCAGGTTGCCGACCCCTGGTATAACCCAATTTGTGGCTTGCCATGGCTTCAAGCGTAAGATTGGAAAGGTGTGACAATAAGTTTTAAATTAAGTAACAGTCAAAAATGAGCTAAAACCCTTAAAGGTAGTGCCTAATGAATTAAATTTGGATGTGTATTATTCAGTGGTCATGTTTAAATTGAAAATTGAATAGAGTTTTTATTTAGCGAGTATATCTACTTACTAGTACTTAGATACTATTAGTTAGCGCAGTTAGTCTATTTCTCTTTTAATCCAAATCATAATATTATTAATTTATAATTATAGATCTACTAATAGTAGGGTTGTCGGCATCCGCCGAGTTCGCGGTAAAAACATGACCCGAAATCGCCCATTACTTTCTGATACCGGACCCACGAGATTTGGTTTTGCATACTAATAAGTTTTTAATTTATGGTAATTAATTAAGTTTAAAAGGTCATTTCCTAAGGTTAATTAAAAAGTAGAGTGGTTGTCCCTTAGTTGTAATGGCTTTGCGACCTGATTGCATGCTGTCTCTGCTTTGGTCTTCCCTCTGTATCAAGGTTAGTTTCAAATACGTTGGAATCTCGATTTTTTAAAAGATTCCTCTAGATGAGAGTAGATTACTGATCAGACATATCTTAAGTAATTGGAAATGAAATTTGTTTTTGGATATTTTGACTCCGACATTAGTTATACCCCTCCGAACGTAGTCACTGTATGTAGGTCACGCTGCCACCATTGTTATATTTTTTCATCCCGATCTTCCTGCCTTTAAGTTTGATCAACTAATAACAGCATTCTTATGGCATGTGCAAACAAATCTAATTTTTTATTTCAAAATATATTTACATACCCATCTTTAATTTTTTCAGCTCTAGTTCTAGTTTTGCAGAATATGTTTTTCCTAAAAATCCAATTTTGTCAGACTAGACTCTAGACTCTAGACTGACAAGAGTCAGACCTAGATCTAGGTTACCTGTCTGTTGCTATACACTAGCATTGTGCTAACTGTAATTTAAAGTATTCAAGTTCTACTTACCCTTAGATATAGTTATATGCTGAAAATCAGAATCCATACACAATTCACACATAAAAACATTGATCTGATAACTTCATTTCACTTATTACAAAATGGCTTTTATATGGACTCTACTTCACCTCCCCAAAATAACAAGGCAGTTGTAGACACATTACAGTGTTCAAGTCATTTACTTTAGATTTCTGACTATGGAGTTCTTTCATTCACTGTATTTATATAAAATATTGCTTTAGAAACATTTTCATATTTGCGCAGCAGTTTTATAACAAAATGGCTTAAAGATGGACTCTACTTCACCTGCCCAAAATAATGAGGCAATTATATGCACATAACAGTGTTCAAGTCATTTACTTTAGATTTCTAACTTTGTAGTTCTTTCATTTGCTATATTTATATAAAATAGGGCTTTAGAAACATTTTCATATTTGCGCAGCACACAGTTTTTTGGGGTTATGGGAGGAAGCCAACACAAAAATATAAGTTCTGTATTATTTTTATTAATTTCAACAGCATTTACAAGTTCTATATATCATTCTAGTTAAACTCTGCAAATATGAACAAAATACAACTGCAAGTAAAATAACTATGCTCAATTTACTCAGGTATACCATGACTTGTCACAATTGGCCAATGCAAAAGCAAGGGGATTCCACCCCTCACAAAAAAATTCGCCAAAAAAAAACTATTTGAGCTAGACAGAAAATATTTTTTGTTTTGTTTTCATTTTGTTGAGCTCTACAAGAATATGTAATTTTTATTTTTATATGATGATTAGTGTTTTTTTACCTAAATCCCTACTAATAGTATAATACAAATCATAGGCATAAATCATTTTTAAACAAAAAGTCCAATTTTACCAATACACCCTACTTTTTAAAATATTGCATTTAACAGTAGAAAAATCTAGATTTTTTTGTGAATGTGAGGCAGAAATTTTCCAAAATTTGGACCAAAATGAAAATGAAAACACTGGCAAAACAGTTGAGTTAATGAGTAGTTTGAGTAGTGATCAGGCCTACACTACAGTACAGCATTATCTATAAAATCTAATGAGCTTAGTTAGTGTAAATGATGTGAGCAAATTAATATTACCAATGTTACAGGGTCTGCTTCTGCCATGATATGATAGGAAAGTAACAAATATATATCAACAGTTAGATCGAGATCTATTTGTACATCTAGTAGTTTACATTGGTTACTGTTTGTGCATCCATCTTGGAAATGTAATAGTGCGCATGTCAGAAATTCCGGAAAATGTGAGTTTAAGTATTTAACAAAAGTAGTCTATAGAATTATGGTTCTTTTTTCGAACCAATTTAGTATTTTACCTCATAGCATGTCGCCTATCTGGCTTTCAAAATATTTATAACAACTAGCGTGCCCGTCAGAGGCGTAGCGACCCCTCCCGGCGCCCGGGGCGAACTTTCAGTTTGGCGCCCCCAATATATATATATATATATATATATATATATATATATATATATATATATATATATATATATATATATATATGCGTGTGTGTTTGTGTGTGCGACAATCTGGAAAAAAAATTAACAATTACGCTGATTGTCGTTCTCTAGAACTTCACTTGACGCCAATTAATTTCCCCTTAAGATGCCGAAACACGTAGAAAATCATATGAGCTTAGAACTGTGGGCTCCATCGAACCCGAGAGGTTCGGTAATTCAGTCTCAGGGCTTCCGCGGAGGTCAAGACACACACCCGACTCATAGGATTCACGATCGGATTATCTCATTGTGGACGATACAACTATTAAGGAGGGTTCGGTGATTGCGCATATGAAACTGGTTGGGTTCGGTACTCCAAAAAGTTAAGAACCACTGCTTTAGAGTGTATTTTGTAGAAGGTGCAAGCTTTATTTGGTCTACTTTTGGTCGTGTCTTTAGAACAATTTCGATAATAGTAGGCCAATGTTGCAATTTTGAATTATCAGTTAGGTTGAACAAAGTAATAATCAGTACAATATACTAATTTTCTTCTCTCTTAACATTGTGGCAAAGAGTGTCGCTTCCCATCCACCCACTCCGACAGTCTGCTAACTCTTTTATGTTACACAATCTTAAAATACGCTTTAGTTCAATGGGTTTCTTTTCTATGCGATATCGGTTTATTCCTTAATCCGGTGTGAATTTTTCCGATTTTAGTCTTCGAAAAAGCGCCCCCCCCCCCTCCCCATCTAGGGAAGCTGGAAAGCGGTTTTTCCGGTCACTGTTTCTTAAAGATATACGTTTTACAGTTACACAACCAAGGTAGAAAACAGTTAAATCAGTATGCAAAGGCTCTCAGCCGTTACATTTCTTTATTTTAACTGTTTATAATTCAAAACTGCAGCTTAAAATGAGCTATTAATTTTTTTTTCTATCCCTTTTGGCGCCCCCCATGGGTCGGCGCCCGGGGCGGCCGCCCTCCCCTAGCTACGCCTCTGGTGCCCGTCCCCGTCCCCAGGATAGCCCGAGGCAAATCGTACCCTGCCGGGGCGCGGTCAGACGCGCCTGATTTAGTTTAGTGGACAACTATAATACTACGAGATTAATGGCCGTTGAGGAAGAGATACAACGGGCGCTAGGTTGATAGTGTTGTCTTTTTGTCTAAACCAAAAGCAAAATCACCGTCTCAACTTCAAATTGAACGGGAGACGAAAAATGTAATTGAAAACGGGTTTGTATCCATAATCGGCATTTTAACACGATTTGAGCTTGATCTACTCGTAGTCACTGAACATTTATACTAAAAATAGTCGTAGTAATACCCCTATACATAATTGCACCTAAGCTCAGATATGACAAAAGTCTCATTTAGAGTTTCTTTCAGAATTTCTTTCAGGCGACTCTACGTCCCTCTCTCTCCCCAACCACCCCAAAGCATAGGCGTAGCGACCCTTCCCGGGGACAAACTTTTCTATTTGCACCCCCCCCCCCCCTCAAGATTTCGATTTGCACCCCCCCCCCCCCCCTCAAACTTTTGATTTCCACCCCCCACAACCTTTCAATTTATTTTTCCAACCCATCTTGGCGTCCCCTAAGGTCGGCGCCCGGTTACATATGTCCCCCCCCCCCCCCCCCTCCCATCGCTACGCTACTGCCCCGAAGCACATCTACCGTCCCACTCAACTAAGTAATGTATTTAAAAATGATACTTTCACCAGTGTCCGCCCCTTCCCAGAAAATTTAGTCCGGGGAGGAAAAAGTCTGGAAGAAACACTGGTCGCATTTGTAGATCATACAGACTAAAGGTAAAGTCTACTTCTATAATATAAACCCGTTTCTACTTTTGGCCGACACTGGGGGTGGGTGTGTGTGTGGCGTCAGAGTTTCTTTCAGGCATCTCTTCAGCCCCCCCCCCCCCCCCGAAAATTTTTTACCGCCCCTCCCCCGAATGAAATGAAATTTATATAATTTATATAGAAAATATACACTTTTAACAGTGTCCGCCCCCTCGAAGAAAGTCTACCGCCCCCCCCCCCCCCCCCGAAAATTTCAAGTGCCCCCCCGGAGAAAAAAGTCTGGAAGAAACACTGTGTGGCGTAGAAGCTTTGCCCCTATCAGAAGAAATGCATGAAAGAAACTATGCAAGCAAACTACTTTTAAGATTAAACACATGAATTAGGTGGTAATGTCAGTGTTTTTATTATAGAATATCGATGACGTCTCTATAGTAAAAGCGTTCCCAACAGATAACGAAAGTGTTCCCAACAGATACATACATACATACATACATACATACACAGACAGTAGGTGCCATAGCGCACACAGGATAACCCGGGGCGCCAAATCGCACCCTGCTGGGGCACCGCCCCTGCGAAAATGTTTTTTTTGTCGCAGAAACTTTCCCTGGAGTATTCTCAACAACTTCCCAGAGTTTCATGGCGATCAGATGCAGAGTTTCTTCCAGGCATCTCTTCGGGGGGGCGAAGCCCCCCCGAAAATTTTTTACCGCCCCCCCCCCCCGAACGAAATGAAATTTGTATCATTTATATAGAAAATATATACTTTTAACAGTGTCCGCCCCCCCGAAGAAAGTTTACCGCCCCCCCCCGAAGATTTCAAGTGCCCCCCCGGAGAAAAAAGTCTGAAAGAAACACTGATCAGATGAAAGGTTTTGCAATGCTTAAAAGACAAAAATAAAATCTGACGAAATATATTAGGAGGGTTTCATCAATGCTTTACCAATCCTATAATCTTAGACGAGTGACCTTGTTTTCTAAAACTGAGTTATTTAAATGTAAACAATGCCTATGCTTGGATCATATTTATCAGGGCAAGTGTTTCCTACACTACTTCAAAAAAAAATTTGCTTATTACTTTTCGACGCATGCGGCACTCAACTGAAAATTCAGAACATGTCCTATGTTTTCATTCAGCGAGCGAAGACAACTTGACCCAGAACATAAAAAGGGGCGTGGTTTTGTGCCCTGCGACTCAGAAGATGTTCCATATACCCGAAACATGTTTAGTATACACTTCAGTAGGTCAAGTCTAGTTACATGCCGTAAGTGTAAACGCGGTGTTAAACATTGCGAAAGACTATGCATAAGATTGGGTTTTACAGTCGTTCACTAAACATCAGGCGTATCCGGTGGCCCGGCTGGGTGCGAGTTGGCGCCAGAGGCGTAGCGAGGGGGGGGGGGGGCGGGGGCGGGGGGTGCGGACCGCACCGGGTGACACCATTTAGGGGGGTAACACCAAGGCAAAAATAGCAAAATGTATAGAGAAAAACTTGAGGGGGTGTGCAAATCGAAAGTTTGAGGGGGTGGGGGTGCAAATCGAAAGTTGAGGGGGGGGGGGGTGCAAATCGAAAGTTTGGTTGAGGGGGGGGGGGGTGCAAATCGGAAGTTTGAGGGGGTTCAAATCAAAAGTTGTAGGGGGGGGGTGCAATAAAAAATTTGAAAGTTTGTCCCCGGGAAGGTTTGCTACGCCTCTGGGGGGTGACACCATTAAGTGCCGCACCGGGTGACACCCGACCTCGCTACGCCACTGTTGGTACCTGGTATACTAGCGGCTAGACAAACTTTTCTGACCCTCGGCTGGCATCCACCCAGACGCAGAGGTTCCTGTCAAAACTACAAGTTCCTAAAAACTGTGTTTAAAATCATTAAAATAAACCTAAACATTGCAATAACCCATCATTCCCCCCCCCCCCCTTCTCAAATAAAAATAAACCGGGAGTGATCTCCCCTAAACTTTCTCGAATATTCTAATATAACACTAAGGGGGATGGCAACACGGGATATAGACTTCTAGACATGATTTTTTCCCACGTTTTCTTTAACTTGCTTTCGCCTCTGTTTGTTTGTTTGTTTGTTTGTTTTTCCAATCAAATCTTGCGATCGAAATTTCGTGCACTTCCCAGTTAGCTAGCGCGCTGAAATTTTCAGGGAAGCTTTGTTTCGGATGACAATAGAATATTCAACTGTTATTATTACTAAATTGATCCATGGAAACATTTTATTGATCATTTTATACCCGTATATAATTGTACAAAAAACGTGGGGAAAAAGGGACATAACCCAGTAACTGTAATTTGATGAAAAGAAGGTTCGGTACTCTCCCTCTTTTTGCTTACTGAGTAGTTGTCACAACTGGTGGCCAGTATGGGGGAGACGATATGGTCGAGTGGTTGGGCGCACGATTGCTAACCCGCTCGACACGGGTTCAAATCTATGTGTTCTAGTCAGTAACGTATTCACACAACGTGTTTTTTTACGAGTTGTCTTTTTACGAGTTGTCTTCGTTTACCCAAAAAAAAAAAAGTGAAAAGATAAAATCGATAGCAAGATTTCAATGCAAACAAACAGACAAAGACTAAAAAGTAGAAAATAATAATCATTAAAAAAGTTTTAAAAACCCACGTTTTCTGATTGAACTAAAAAGTAGAAAATAAATGCTATACATCACAATAATGCAAGCGATCACTCTACTATAAGCGATGAAAAACGTGGGGCGCTGTGATTTTATTACAGTTTCTAATACTGTTGACTCTCTACAAGCTCCCTAATAAAAGTCAATAGTATTATCTAATCAATAGTAATATAACTTTTACTTCGGCGCCCCACGTTTTTCATCGCTTATAGTAGAGTGATCGCTTGCATTATTGTGATGTATAGCATTTATTTTCTACTTTTTAGTTCAATCAGAAAACGTGGGTTTTTTAAACTTTTTTAATGATTATTATTAATCCATTTTAAATACTCATATTTTTACT